AAAAATATATTTGAAAATACATATAAAAAAAATATTTAAAAATATATCGTATTTTTTAAAGTTTTATTATCTCTAGTGCTACTACGAAACTATGGTAATTAAATTTGTTTTGTTTATGTCATCTCCGCTGTGCAAAATCACAGTTGGCGCGAGTCTTCAACAATAATTTCTGGCTGCCTGTCAACACGGACAGAAAAAATGTCACATATAGTTGTCACATAAAAACTTGCTCGTGTAGACGGGTCTAAGAAATCGAAGGCACTTCCATTCGGCCACGCGTATAATTGTGGTTAGACTTGTCTGTGAAGTGCAGGTGCTCGCTCCTGGTTGTCAAGAATCAAAGTTAAAAATAATTAGTTTTAGCGAAAAATAAACTCTATACATAAATCGTTCACATTAAAATTCCATTTGTAAAGTAAATCATAATTTGATTCGTCTTACCGTTCAGTAACACTAAAGGTTGAAGCAAGCAAAGAAGACGATCCTCCAAATTCGTCGTTTTGAAATGATTGTACGAAGGTGCTGGCCCGTGCTTATCGAGAACCCAAGTTAATATTTCTTGATATTTCATTTTAGAGGATGTTAAAATACTTATATATCCCTCCTTTGACGCACAGAACACAAAAGACTTGGTTGAGGAAAACTAGTTTCGTCTTTACTAGAGCTTTTCAACTTTTTCGATCTACAACTGTTGTGAATTGAAAAGGTTTAGTAAAGTCGAAACTAGTTTTCCTCAACCAAGTTCTTTGACAGCCTCTAAAATCAAGCTATTCTTGCACTCCTTATATATGTGCCTATGCAAATTCGTTCAGTTATTCGTCCGATCGTATGTATTGATACTTTATGAATGATCTTTAATTCAAAAATTGGCGAAGTAAAGATGGATATTTTGTCCTTTCAAGATTGTAAGCATTGTTTACATGGTCATTATGTTTTGGTCAAAATCGTGAATTTTGAAATTTTCGAGCATGAAATCAGGTTTATTTACATGTTATACCCATTACAAAAGGCCATACATGATAGATCAGCGATCGGACAATTGTTTTGCTATTTATGAAGAATCAAATACATGATAAATATGCTAATGTGGTTATGATCATTAATAATTATATATCTGACTTGTGTGAGAAAATACCACACTTATTTCATTTGATTTGATGTCCTTTGTTTCTTTGTTTCTTTGAATTTCTTAAAAAATTGGCTAAGGTTGGTAAATTTACAATATTCTACCATATGATGCTCTGTTTTGCCTGTCAAAAATATGAAATAAAACTCATATCCACTTGTTAAATCTTGTTTTAAGCTACAGACAGGGGCTAATTCAGCTGGTGAGCTCAGGGAGTTTGCAATAACCCCCTCGCCCCCTCGAGATTTAKTATACTTCCTTTTATTTGTGTCTCCTTTGTCATGGTTTCTTGGAGAGCTCCCTGGCTGAGTCCCCTGCACCACTCCCTGGAAATAATGTAATCTTCACACAGTGCCGGGGACGTGCCGCCAGCTAGGGTATCGTTTTCAGCGATTTTACTCTGGAACTGGGTATCGATTTTAACGAATTTTCTCTGGAACAGGGTCAGGGTTTAATTCCGGAATTATTGATGCTGGGTAAAAATTCACGGGGTAAAAATTCAGTCTACACGCAAGCTAGTCAAGATTTTCTCTGGAACAGGGTATCGTTTTCAGCGATTTTACTCCGGAACAGGGTATAGTTTTCAGCGATTTTACTCTGGAACAGGATCAGGGTTTTGACGTCCTAGCGGCACACCCCCACCCAAGTTTGGGGGGAGTACCCCCCCGGGCTCGGAACTAGTGCAAGCCAGGAAGTTTTGGAAAACTCACTAGAAAATATGACCGACGAAGAAATATATCAAATCTTGACTTTTTCCGGTTTTGAAAATCGATTCCAAGACTTGATTCAGGTTTTAATTTTCATTTGCAAGACCTGGTTCAAGCTTTAGTCAGCCCCAATCTCCCCTGATGATAATCAGTGAAAACAGTCCCATAACTTTTCTTAGTTTTGTTCTCATTATGCTCATCCTCATGCTATCCAGAATTGCTAACTTTACACGGCGGACAAGCAAACTGATGATTCAAAATCGGTGTTGTAGAGCTGTAGATATTATTCACTCAACTCGTATAAGTAAATATACTAACATGACAATACTTAATGAGTAGGTCCCTCCTTAACAGTTCCTTTTGCTACTTCATCTAGAATATGCGTCAACTGATTTAAACTAAGGACTGTRTTATTGGTTTTGACGGCTGCGCGTAGTTTTGCTGACCTACATCGTGGGTTACAAAGAAGTTCTTGATCTGATGGGCAAACTACTTTCTTGTTTAAAGGTAACCATGCAGAGTTCTTAGGAGACAACTGAGCCTTACGCCTTGAKATAGACTCRACAGGAGGATCTTTAAGGAAATGCTTTACAATGATRTCCTCAACAGAGTGAAACGAAATCACAACCAGTCTTCCTCCGGGAACTAGAAGCTTTTGGGCAGCTTTTAAAGCCTTTTGAAGTTCATTGAGTTCATCGTTAACTAAAATACGTAATGCTTGAAACGTTTTTGTGGCAGGATGGGCRAAACGATTTAGTTTGTCCTTGCGACCAAATCCGACTGCGTTTGAAACAACAGTAGCAAGCTGTTTAGTAGTAATTATTTCTTCTTTTTCTCTTGCTTTGATAATGGCTCGTGTTATTCTCCCTACGAAAACAATTCAAATACATAATGAATAATTGACGCGTAGCCACTACACTAAGAATTTTTCGTTCTCTATAGATATGCATAAGTATATAGACACAGGTATACCGACAAAACGATTTTGACGCGCCCGTTGACGCGTAGCCACTACATATAAGAATTTCTCGTTCTACAAAGATATGTATAAGTATATAGACACAGGTTTACCGAATAAATTTGACGCGTTGCTGAGATCAAATCATAGGATGCTTTTTTGGATGCAGGGTATCTGGGTGATTGATTTGCGACCAGGCCTGCATATGAATTCGCCCAATCTCGTACCCAGCGCCCTTGTCCCTCTTACTGCGCATGCTCGACGAAAAACAAGAGTTTTTCGTCGAGCCTGTGAGCCTGCGAGTAAGAGGGACAGTGGCGCTGGGTACGAGATTGGAATTCGCCAAGGTTGTAAGCCAGTGAGCCCGTGCAWTTTTGTTAAGCGGTCATATTTGAAAGTGTAAATAAAGAAAGGAAAAACCCGCATCTCGCCTTTCACTCAGATAAACAGTACAAGTCGCGTTATTTACATAACTAAACAAAATGATTATAGAATTAAACCTTTAAGAATTGAATGCTCATATGAAACATTTTCC